AAGAGTGGGATCAGCCTGTGTAAAGTTTGTAAAGCAGCATGAGGTTTACAGGCCCCAATGGTTCAAGCCACGGCTTGCATAAGGCAGGTATGACTTTGGAGAAGGAGAAGGTGATGGCACGTTCAGCAAAAGACTTGACTGACCGCGAAAGCACTGCCAGTGTCGTTTCTTCTACTGACTACTGTAACTGTCTGCAAAAGACAGCAACAACACACTTTGTCTTCGACCTTCAGATGCGCCTGCAGCTTCTACTGCCCTGCAGGCATCATCAGAGGTTTCTTGTCCTCGACGCTGCTTCTAGTCTTTGGCTATGCCCTAGACTCTTAGCTGCAAGGGTCTCGTGTTGCACCCAAGGGTCTCGTGCCAAGCCATCTGATCCATGCCCTCGGCAACGTGCGCCAAAAGGCTCTGACGTCATCTTCGACTTCGTAATCTCTTAGTCTCTACGCTGTTGGTTTGCCCTTCTTTACTAGTCACTAGTCTGTTTATTGGAGCTTTTCTGACGGGTGGTTCTTTTTCCAAATCTCTTCGAGTTCTAAGAATCGGAAGTCGCGCAACGTGAGGAGTTCGAGCTGGGCACGGGACATTTCCTGGCGTTGCTCCTGGGAATTCAGCCGGGCTCCTGGCCACTGGATTTTTTCAAGAACTGAGCTGATTGACCGAAACCCTCCTGAACCTGTGCAGCAGGATCCTTTTTCAAGTCCAGTTCTTAAGGGTGAGTGATCCACAGGCCCCGTAAACACAGGTTCCGCTCAAGGCTTCGATGGATTTTTGCCGCTTCGGCTTGCCACTGTTCGGCTTCTCTATTTCATTCTCTACTCGGCCTCGAACGAAGAAACGGACACGAGATCGGTGTCTTTGACCACCTTGACAGCCCCACCAGTTGTTTTTTTCTGGAGATCGGACATATTGCTATTCAATTGGTCATCTCGTTTTGCTCATCAAGCTTGATTTTTTCACTCCATCAAGCTTGACATTTGGTCCAAGGCTTGGATCAGCCTTTATTCTTCTGCATTTCGGCTTTGCTGGGTGGCTTGCTCCGCAAACATACCTGCGAAGTTGGAGGTTTGGTTAGTTTGGTTCCCTTGTTCTTGTGCCTGCGGGAAGGTGGCCATGTTTGTTCTGTCTTTTTCAAGTCATGTCGCCTTGTTCCTGTGCAAGTCATGCGTACTCTTTGACGCCTCCTTTGACAGGCGTTGGTCCCAATATTTTGTTGGAGTTTTGCGGTACCAGAACCATCGGTGTCATGTTGGCTGCATCTCTCTCAGGTGCGTCGTGTCCTTTGAGCCAGCTTTTGCGGGCCTGGCGGCAGTGATGCACAAGGTGAACCCCAAGGTGGGGCTTCCTATGGCTTCCTGCTCGTCGCCGCTGAGGCATCCAAGTTGATCCGTTTCTTTCATGGGTTTGAGACCTTTGAGCGGTTAACTTGCAGATAGATTACTTGTTATCATCCTGATACATCATTTCCTTTAATTCATTCGTTTGTTATCTTTAAATGGAGCTTTGGTGTTCCGCAAGACTTGCGAACGGAAGGTGCACAGCGATGGCATGGGCAGTGCTTTGAAGTTACCTTGGGAGGCCGCCAGCGATCCTCAGCGGAGGACCAGTTATGTCCACAAATGCAGCAAGGGTTAAATGGCCTACCCTGCTTTACAGATCCATGTACATGTACGGTGCTTTCTACCAGCTGGGGCTCAATTCCATCTCTGCATATACCGGGAGAACTGTGCGACACTCCTCCTCTCTCCTCGGCTCCTTGGTGACCAAGTCAATGGTGCAAGCCTCCACTGTCGGCTGCAAAAGCAGTAGGTCCAAGTAGGTTACAACGAACAGACAAACAGCTTGGTTCTGCTCTTCAAGAAGGATCTGAGGCGACTGACAAGATCAAACAAGGTAGGCGGCTCACTGCAAGGAACTTGAGATTTGTCAAAGTTATGAATCAAGACATGCCATGCCAGGTGGAGCCACGCTGGCACGTTTGGGTCTTGCTGAGCTTCTTGCTGCTTCAGGCTGCTTGGCACACGCTTGTAGCCTCAGCTACTAAACATTACCATCGACACAATCATGGAAACTACCTGGAAGCGAAGATTGCATTGCCAACCTGCCTTGTTTGTTAGTTTACATGTTTACGGTGCTCTTGAGTTCAGGGTTGATACTTTGACACCGCTTTTCACCCTTTCTGGAATAGATTATCAGGGATACAGAAGGACACTCACTTCTTTCTTCGTCAAGAATGTGCAACGAGTCTGTCGCTGATTCGACATGAAGCCGCAGGCCCAAGACTTCCCAAAGGCCTTCCTCTCGCAGATCGCCGGCCTGGTGGTGGGTACCCTCTGTGTGCTACGCGAGCCAGAGGTGCGGAGCCGGTTCGCTCGGTTCGCTTCGGCCTCGGAGAGGCCTCGTCCATGTTTTGGGGCCTGTTTTAAAAGGCTTGTTCGGCATGAAGGTCCACGTTCACGCAGCCTCTCCCACTCATCTCGTCTTAGATACAAGATCAGTTTATTTCCCTACAGAAAGATTCAAACACTGGACTTGGAATCTTGCTTGGTATTAACATGCAAATGCAAAGGGTTTCAATGTCAAGAACA